GGGGGGGGGGGGCCTGTCTGGAACACCTGTATAGGGTCTGTAACCAGCATGTGGGGTCTCCAGTTCTGCTCCCAGGTGAAGTGGGCTCTTCTGGCTGATCTCAGCCTTGGGAGAGGAACCCACCCTGGTGTTTGTTGGCCACACTAGGTTGCTGCCATTGGCTCCAGCTGTGTGGCACTGAGCTGCAACTGATGGCAAAGAGCATGCAGCCTTTCTGGAGCTGTGCGGAGGGTTGGTACCTGCCAGACATGCCACCTCCCAGACAAGCCGTTTGTGGGCTAACAGTACCCTCCTGGGTCTTTGCTGTGAGAGCTGGGAGGGAAGGAGGTGTGTCATGCTGCAGTACTGACAGGCTCTTTCTCTATTGCAGTTCTCAGCATGCTGAGTAACCCTCTTGGAAATGTCCTGGGGAAGCCCCCGCTGGGTTTCCTACCTCTAGACCCCATTGGTTCAGACCTGTCAGAAAAGTTTTCCACACCGACCCTGAGGAACTCCCGCCTGGACTCCCGCTCCCTCCTGGACTCCCGTTCCAGCAGCCCCTCGGACTCGGACACCAGTGGGTTCAGCTCTGGCTCTGACCACCTCTCAGACTTGATTGTAAGTTTGGGTCTTGCGCCGTCTCTGTGGTTCCTGGTGTCTTGCTGTGTTTCTGGGGACCATGGTTGAGCTGTGGTGTGGGGGGCTGCAGGGCACAGCCCTGCCTGCTCAGGAAGAGTGCTGGAGGGAGCTGTCATACCCCTACTGACAGAGGTTCTTCTGCAGCCCAAGGTTTGGAAGAAGAGCTGCTCATACAGTTGTCCTTCAGCACAAACTAGCAGTATCCTTATATGTTTTTTTCTTCTAAATAATGTTTTGTCCTTTTGGCTTTATCCTTGAGCCTTAATGGGTTAAAGTAACTCCCAGAGGTGTCTGAGTGCTTGAGCTGGTGTGTGGCAGGAGCATGTCTGTGCCCTGATCCCAGCAGGGACATGGTTGATAAGCACAGTTGCCTCCAGGCCTCAACCTGTGCTTCTCAGGAGCTCCTCTCCCTGCCTTTCATTGCCCTCCCTGTTTGCTGACTGCACTTCTCTCTCAGGGCTGTTTCTTCTAGACCAAACTGGGTCTAGCCTGCTCCCATTCCCTAAAGCGCAGCTAAATTTGGAAGCCAGTGAGCGAGGCGAGTGTCTCTTGCTGACCCAGTCTGCTACTGGGTTTGCGTTGCAGTGTGAGCAGCAGCTCTGGGTGCCAGCAGGGCAGCCTGGCTCCAGCCAGCTCTGCAGGTGCTCCTGCATGGCTCAGCCTTGGGACCAGAGCCTAAAGCCAGGGCTGGCCTGCTCCTGGCTCTGCTGTGGTGTGAAGGACACAGCTGGCTTGCTAGAGAGTTGATTCTCCTATGATCCACCCTGGAGAATCAGGAGCTTGAGCAAGGGTGCTGTAAGTGGCTGCAGCCACCCTGGGCTCTGACGATGGCAGGCGGTGGGGGGTGGCAGAGCTTTGTGCTGGCCTTGTTTGTGAAGGTCAGGCCTTCCCCAGCACAGCCTCGGCGTGGGCGGCAGTGCCGCAGCAGTGCACAGCTAGATCCGCAGAGTGGCTTAAAACCTGCTGTAAAGCAGATGTTGCTGAAGAGAGGGAACTGGTGAAACCCCCTCTTGCCTTAAACCTGCATTCGCATGGGGTTGAGGTCTCACCCGGTTGTTGATGATGCAGGGAAAGGAGCTCAGAAAGCCTTTCCCATGTTTGATGGGCTCGGTCCTGTCGCTCCCAAACCCTGTGGCCTTCAGACACGATGCATCTTGCCCCTCATCTAGATCTCTGTGATCAGCTTCTGGTAGAGCTGCTGGTTTCTGTACTGGACAAAAACCACTCGGTTCTGTTACCTCCACTCTTCCAAATTGTCGATGGCTTGGTTACATGAAAGTTATTTCACTGATGATGTGGGAGGAAGAGTTACAATGGTAGGATGTCCCAGGAACCGTGACAGTGCGGTAAGGTGAGGTGGTGCTGTCCCCCCCAACTTGGGGATCTGCCTTGGGAGTCTGCTCCCTGCTTTGGCTCCTTGGTTTGGTAGCCTAGGGTGAGGTGACACGGCTTTCCACGAGAGACCGGGGCTTGATTTGACTCTGTCACTCCCGACAGTTTGAAATGATGTGCAGCTCCATGCAGATCCTCTCCGGATGCTTCAGCGCCCCAGATTTCAGGTGTTGGCACAGTGCTGACCCACAAGGCCGGTGTTGGGGGCTTACAGGAACGAGCTTGAGCAACTGTGTGTGTGTGTTTTACGTAGTGACCTTCTAGCTGAGTTTTGGAGGCAGGATGGAGTGGCGCTGGTGGGAGAGGCCACCCCTGGAGGGACCCCAGGCAGGGAAGGAGCATCCGTGCCATAGCTGTTGATTCAGTGCCAGCTAAACCTGCATTATTTGTGGTTCCTTATAAAAATACTAGTGTGATGTAGCCTCTTGGGGAAGGAAGCACATGGAGATCAAGGTTTGGGGTCCAGAGAGAGTTGGAGGGGGCGGCTCTGGGATTGAAGAGCAGGAGACCTCAGGTCCTGGGGGTGGCACAGCACAGGCAGTTGCTCAGTTTGCTGTCGGGCTCCAGCCTCGGGGACTTGAGTCGTCGTGAGCATTGGTGGTGACCACCGGGTCAGTGCCGTTCTGGACCCATCCCTGGCTCCTCTCTGCAGCCTTGGCATGGACCTGGTTAGTCCTCAGGTTTCCAAAGACTTCCCCTAAAACGAGCTCTTCTCCCCATGTGGTGTTTTGGCTGGAGGGCTGGTCTCCATCGGGTCCTCCCGGCTCACTGTTGCCAGAGCCCTTCCCCACAAGGGGCAGCGAGACCTTGGTTGTGGTGGGACAGGATGGGATGGGAGCAGGCATGCGGGGACACCGTGGTGGCAGCAGGAATGTCGCTGCGGGGCCTCATCAGTCTGCGTCTGTCTCTCCTCCGTCCCCAGGTCTCTGCCCTCGACCAGGAGATCATCGAGGTGGACCCAGACACAAAGGAAATGCTGAAGCTCCTGGTGAGTGGCCCCAGCCGTCCCCTGCCCCCGTTGACCCTGCCAGGCTGGTGGCATGGCCCTAGCACCTGCCCCAAGGGGCTCGATGGTGGCAGCTGAAGGCTTGGGCCAGTGGTGGGGGTCCCTCTGCTCTGGGGCCTGCGGGCAGCTTCAGTCCCGTATGGCACTTGGGAGGGGCTCAGCACAGCGGCCTTGCCCGGCACCCTGCTAGGCAGGAGCCCTCCACTCCTCCCACAGCACCCTGGGGTGCTGATCGCTGTGCGGAGGTGAGAGTGAGTTCGCCCATGCAGAGGCCGATGAGCCACTGTCTGGGGCAGGGTGGTGGTCTCCCCTTCTTTCTGGAGCCAGGAATCCACCCTGGTATCTGCCTGCGCCTGACGCTGCCCCCGGGAGGAGGTTCCCCCGCCCTCGGCGGTGCAGGGCAGTGTCACCTATCCCCACCCCGCGCTGTTTTCCAGGATTTCGGCAGCCTGTCCAACCTGCAGGTGACACAGCCCACGGTGGGGATGAACTTCAAAACGCCTCGAGGAGCGCTCTGAGTCGGTCGCGGTGTGTCACTTTTCCAATAAATGGGAAACCACCTCAGAATGCCTGGTCTTTGGAAGCTTGTGTCACCAGGGAGGAGGAGGGGGGGGATCCTCAGGTGCTGCAGCCTGGGTACAGGTGTCTGAGGCTTCAGAGGGTGAGGAGGACTCAACACCTTCACCTTGCTGGCATCTTTTTGAGTTCTGTCCTGGCTGTTCGGGGGGTAAAGCTGTTGTTTTACAGGCTCTCCTGTTGCCAGGGCAGTGGGGGAGGACAAGGGTGGTGGCTCCTTGGCGCATTCCAGTGCCTCCTCCAAGCGGGTAGCTGGGGGGGCCGTGCTGAGCCAGAATGAAAGTTGCTTTTTGTAACCATGTTGGTATCTTTTAAGTGCTTAAATGAAAGGAAAGTCTTGTCACTGGTTTTCTTTGTATGAGGGGAGTGAGCTGGGCTGAGCTGTATGTGGGGGTGGAGGTTCCCACGTGGAGACAGGCCCTGGTGAGGCTTATGCTGTCCTTCCCCCAGCAGGATGCTCCACCCAGCAATTTCCCCAGGGCGCAACAGGCATGGAAGAGTTTTGGGGTTCAGCTCCCAAAACTTCTATGTAGAGGCTCTGGGTCCCACCCAGGTCCCACTGGTGAGCATGTACCGCGGGTGGGAGTGGCTGTGCGTGAGGGGACTGCTCCCTGCAGGGAGACCTGGCTGTGTCCCCCTGAGGGCAGCTGCTGCTCACAGCCACACTTTAAAACCCCCACCCTGGGAACAAAGAAAAAGACAAAAGGATTTGTGTTTTGGGGAAAAATGTCTATATTTAAGTTTGATGTGAAATTTGTTTTAAGTAGTTTTTTTAAAGAAGATATTTAGAGTAAACATAGCCAAGTATTTAACTATACACTGAACAGGCTGAGCTGCTGTCAGGATAAGCTAAGCAGAGATAATTTATAAATCCCCCACGTACCGTGGAGATTTTAAGAGAATTTGCAGCTCAGTACCACCAATCTCTGCACTATTTAACTAAAACACGAGGAGAACGCCAACTGACGGGTAAAATAACCATCAAACTGTAGAAGAGCACGAGCAAAGAGGCATCCCAGCATCTTAACTACAGGACTGGGTTTTCAAACACAACCGATAGCACTCTGGCAGCTCTTATTTAAGTGGTTGATGCGAGCAGCCACCTGTTAACTTAAAATTTTCTCTTCATTCTAGTCTTTGCATTGGGGTAAATGTTGATTTCATTCTGAATCCAATACGCGGTGTAGCCTGAGGTGCCGGGGATGAAATCACGGAGCTCCCCGGCATATTTCTTCATGTCGCGAGCAGAGGGGTAGCCTGCGAAGAGCAAGTGAGGGTCTCACCTGGGGGAGCTGCCCTCTTCCCGCCACACCAGGACAACGGGAAGCACAGCGTGCGGAAGGAAGGGAGCAATTCCAGTCGCACCCTCAGCGTTTCCGCTGCTCTAAGTACCAAGAGAAAGCGAGGAGCACATGGTGGGTGCCTGCTTCATCCGCAATCGTTTTCAGGAATATTTTCCACTCCTTAAAAATCTACCAACCCCAAACGTTACCTGTCACCATGTTATTCATCGGGTATTCCTGGAGGGCACGGTATGGAAATTCCCCCTGGGCAGGTGCTCTAGAGCCTGTTTCTCCTTCGCTGCTGTATCAGGGGGGAAAAATACCTGTGTGTTATTTCCTGTGCTTTGGGGATCTCTTTGAAATTTAGGGGACATGTTCAAATCCTACCAGCAAGGTCAGAGAAATACCTTTCAGCCAGGTCTAGCACATCCTCCTCCGCTTCGTCCTCACAGCCTTTGCTCACCACCTCCGGTTCATCCGTCAGATTTTTGTTGGGCTGCGAGTATAAACACAGAGTTGAGATAAAACTCTGGAAATGTGGTCCAAGAGAACGGTATTTTTAGGATTTGCAATTTCAAGCATAATTTAGAATACAATTCTAAATCTAATCCCATTTTCACTTCAAAAGTAGCAAGAAATTGTTTTGGGAAGAGAGCGGGCAGTGTCTCAGAGCTACATGAGGAAGGAAAATGCCACACAAAATGTCTGAGCTCAGGCTTTGGCAATCTGCATCCCCAGAAGGATGTGCCAGGGAGATGACATCTGTCTGAGGGAGGGAGAAAATCCCCCCTGAATGTCACACTCAACCCAGTGCTGTCCCCCTGGGGTGTCACACTGGGAGTGACACACAGCACAGCAACCACAAGAAGATTTAATCCCATATTTGGGCTGAGGGTCTGGGATGAAAACCAGGCCCCCTGAAGTTCATACAACCAGTATTTTTTTTAAGCTACACCTCTTGTAGTATAAATTTTTCATCTTACCTGTTCTGCAAGTGAATCACCCGCCTGCTCCCAAATAAAACTACCGATTTTCCTTCTGATTTCTGCCATGAACAAAAAAAATAAATGACTGAGAGAGCATCAAATGGTGAAGACTGTGCAGCAGTCAGTGCCTGTGCAAGCCCCTGCCCTTCGCAGGTGGACACGGGGCCCTGTCAGGAGCTCACTAATGCAGTGTGAGGGCTCCATGTCCGGGTGGAGAGCGGTGATGAGTGGCCTTCTCAGCGGCTGGGGTGGGGTCTGGTGCTGTTTAACATCTTTGTTGGTGACATGGACAGTAGGGTCGAGGCACCCTCAGCTGGTTCACCAACACCACCGAGCTGTGTGGTGGGGTGACACGCTGGAGGGAAGGGATCCATCCAGAAGGACCTGGGCAGGCTGGAGAGGTGGGACGTGCAAACCTCATGGAGTTCAGCAAGGCCAAGTGCAAGGTCCTGCCCATGGGTCGGGGCAATCCCAAGCACAATCCAGGCTGGGCCATGAGTGGATTGAGAGCAGCCCCAGGGAGAAGGACTTGGGGGAATCAGTGGGTGGAAAACTGACTGTGAGCCAGCAATGTGCACTCAGCCCAGAAAGCCAACGGTACCCTGGGCTGCACCCAGAGCAGTGTGGGCAGCAGGTACAGGGGATGGATTCTCCCTCTCTACTCTGCTCTGGTGAGAACCCCCCGCAGTGCTGGGTCCAGCTCTGGGGGCACCAACATCAGAAGGACACGGACCTGCTCAAGCGGGGCCAGAGGAAGCCACGAAGACAATCAGGGGACTGGAGCACCTCCTTTATGGGGACAGGCTGAGAGAGTTGGGGGTGTTCAGCTGGAGAAGGCTCCAGGGAGACCTTATAGTGCCTCCCAGGACTTAAAGGGGCTACAGGAAAGCTGGGAGGGACTCTGCATCAGGGAGTCTATGAGGGATGAGGGGCAACAGTTTCAAACTGAAAGAGGATAGACCCAGGTTAGATATAAGGAAGAAATTCTTCCCTGTGCCCAGAGAAGTAGTGGCTGTCCCCTCCCTGGCAGGGTTCAAGGCCAGGTTGGACGGGTCTTTGAGCAACCTGGGCTGGTGGAAGGTGTCCCTGCCCATGGCAGGGGGGTGGGACTGGATGATCTTTAAGATCCCTTCCAACCCAAACCATTCTGCGATTCTACAATTTTATGTTAATAGATGGAGAATATAATAGATGGAGCATCCTCTGCCTCTGGGGAGGAAGAATTGCTCCCAGCAGAAGGAACTTCCCTCCACCTAGAGCAGGAGGTTCTGGTTTGCACCCAAAAAGGCTACACTCATGGAAGAACCACTAGGGGAGCAAAACCAATGGGTTTTTTTTTCCCCCTGACCTTCTTGCAAGCAAGCAGGTGGCAGGACGAAGTGGCCCAGAAACACCGATGGCTTCACTCCTGCATTAGTGCTCGCCCACGCAGAGAGGTAACAGGAGTGAAAGACGGTAGCTCTGCCCTCCAAGTAATCAAGGCTCTCGTGTATTCTGGAAATGAAAAAGACAGCTGGTTTCCAAAGGTAACCCCCCCAAAAAAAATAATGTAGAGGTGTATTGTCATTAAAACCGGCCTGCTGCAATGTTTTTGCTAGAAGCACCTAATTTTCCCTAATTTTCTAACTATGAGACTCTACAAGCAATGTCCTGCTATGGTCCTGGCTGCTGGCACCTCCTGAGAACAGCCCAGAGGAAGAACACTAGTCACCAGGTAAAAACACATTTTTAGGGACTAAATGGCACCGCTGTGCCCTCTGCTCTCAAGATGAGGCAGGTTCTTCAGGGAGGAGGAAAACGTGATTTTTATTTATTTATTCTTAACCCCGCTGGTCCCTGCTCAGGCTCATGGTGTGGTGCCCAAACCAGCATCATGACAACTGAGCAAGGAAGGGTGGGTAGAGGATGCTCAAGCACTCACCATCCTTCTTAGAGGGGAATTAAATATTGTTTGCCAGGTTTCAGGGTATGGATGACTGCATTTTTCCCAGAACATTGAATATATGTATATTTTATATATGTAATTTCCCCTGGGGGAACAACCCAGTCCAGCAGGATGCTATGGCGGAAAGAAGGTTGTTACTACAAGTTTCTTGGGATTCCTCTTCCACAGCTGGAGTGGGTGGCTGAAGGATTACAAAAAATCTAAGCCAGTTTTAAGCAATCGTGTTAAAAGAAGCTGCTTAGTTCAGCCTAGCAAAACCTGCTGCAGAGCATTGTGAGAAAACATTGCTGTTCCCTTTCACCTAAATACATTTACATGACATTGACTATATATATTCACTAGCTGGAGGAAGACCCTGAATAGCTTTTCCTTATATTTGTTCTTGAGAGCTGTGAAATTTTTTACATTAAGCAAGCAGAAGGAAAATAGCAATTTCAGCCCTTTTCCAATCGTTTTTACCTCCATGCTTGCTTTCAGAGTTAACTCGTGTTGACTTTTTAGCATCCGATTCCTTCCTTGGGGATGGTGTTACCTCTATTTTAGACCCTGAGTTTTCCAGTAGATCAATTTAAAGGTAGCAAGAAATACAGTGCAATTAGTTTAATTTACATCAGACTTAAGCCAATGTGGATGTTTTTTGCAGCCGTTTTCTGTTTTGTCTAGCTACAGTTTACCTTTGGTGTAAGTTTTCAGACTCCACTAAGCAGTAAAACCCCAGCAGACCTGTACCCAGGCACTTTAAAAGCACCACCTTGCCTCTTAAAGGATATTGGCATCCGTTAAATACATTAAATACATTAAAACTGTTATCTATGCCATCACTGATCTTCCGCTCTCTGCAGCCATCGCGTGAAGAGGGCTCAACGCGAGCGTGAAACACGGCTGCAGGTGCCTCTGAGGCACGGCGGGCGCTGCCGGTGTGGGGGTGACGGGAGGGTCGATGGCTGGGGGACGAGGCCCACCTGCGGGTGTCCGGGTGGGCGGCATCGCTGCTGAAGAGGTAGCTGGCGTCCCGCCAGTGGGCCAGCGCCCCGCCGCCGGCTGCTGCGGGGGGAAGAGCGGGGTGAGGAGGAAGGTCGGTGCCCCACCGGGTCCCCACCTCTGGGTGGCCGGGGATGGGGACGGCCCTGAGGTGGGAGCTGGGATGGGCCCCCCGTGGCTGTGGGCCTCCCACTGCCTCACTGAGGACTTTTCCGGGCTTTTCCCAAGCGCGGGGGCACCGTGGCCTGCCCCAGCTTGGGGCGGGGGGCTGCCAGACCCGTGCTCTGCCCCGCTGAGGGGTGGCGGGGCTGTGCCGCCATTGCTGGGCCCCGCTGCCGGGTGCCGGGGCCGTGCTGCGGCTCAGCCCCGCCGAGGGCGTCTGTCCGCTCCCTGCCCCACAGCCTCACCCCACAGCTCCCGCGGGCCCGGGCTGACGCTCTGCGAGAACCAGGCGCGGTGGCCCCGGAACATCGCGGCGGGAAGCGGCGGCGGGAGGAGGAGAAGCCCCGAGCGGGCGGC